ATCTCTATCTGCGTCATCAAGGCGCCGTGGGGCTCTCCCTGCGTTTGAACGCTTCTCGCGATTCAACACCATGGTTTTCTATCTCGAAATTTCGGCAGCAAGGTCACAAGAGAGTCAATTTTACTATCTGGGCAATTTTGGGCATTCTACTACGATAATTAGGTGGTAAATGGCCATCCTCTGCCCACACCGCAATTCTGCCCCGCGGCGCCAGCAATTCGAGGGTAGCGCCAAGGAATTGCAACACTTTCGCAATGCACAGTAGAACAACTTGCTATTTACACACTATCCATTGATTAGCCAGCACGGTCATCGATTTATTACTTATGCAAACATCTTACTTCGTCATTATTGATCTTAAATACTCTCTTTCAACCCCGATTTTCTAAAATGAAGCTTCATATAAGCATGCATCACCTCATTGTCATACTCGTCTGGGTTGCTTCTGGAGGCTGCTGGCCATTGTTTGAAGCCGAACATAAGCTTAACCTCAGTATAGCCCGAGACTCGCAACCTGTGGGCTCACCTACACATAATAGCAGTGCTATCACAATCCAAACCGCTACACTCAGCAAGGAGATTAATACCACTCTGACGGGTTTGGCATTCCTGCTAACAGTGACAACCTACTGGCTCCTGATGAGATACACCACAACATTATCGAATGAAATCGTCTTACCCTCGAAATTCCTAGAGGACAATATAGCCGCTGTTCTGTCATTGACTTGGCCAAACCATTATCTTCGTACCTCGAAAGATCCTCCTGATACATATTCATTTCCCTGGGTGCTGTTCCGCATGAGAATGGAAGAGTTGTTCAATAAGCCTCTGGGTTCTGACGATGTCAAAGATTTCAACACTTCTATCCAATCTGGGAGCTTTATGGTTATCGTCAAAATCTTCTCGCCGGTTATGAAAAGCCTGGTCCAAATTGCAATATGGAACACCGTTAGCTTCTGGCTTGTCCTTGTCATGATTGTCAACACACTGGTTTATAACGGCTTCGTGAGTGACAACATTACTAACGACAGCAAAGTCCGCTTGATATTGGTTGGTATATATGCAATTGTGAATATTGGACACCAATTCCGCATTACGATTTTACTCTATCGCAACTTTACATTTGTGCTTTTTCAAACATGCTGGACAATCATCTGCAAGGAGTTTATATTTCAAAAAACCGAGCTATACAAGCGTCATATTGATGATGTTATGTTCTTCATGAAACTTGACAAGCGTGACTACCCATTTCGCAGAGATCCATTTGGATCCAGTATAGACTCGAGAAGTCTTGATCTCCAGTTATTCGGTACGATGAAGCGTTCAAATACTCATCGCCCTCTTTATTACTCCGAGGAAATAAGTTTCCCGGAGCCAGATTGTGACTTTTCACCCTTGTCAATCGATAATATAGAACGAGAATATTATCTCAAGACGGAAGACAAGATTGAGAGCAAATTTGACGAGTCCGTCAAGCCGCTACGCGAGACAGAGATAAAGGCGTATGAAAAGGCAACAGACACTGCGCTCGAAAAGGTTATCGGCAACGTCGCCGTCTTGCTGGGTATTTGTCTCGCTACAGCATTAGCCCCGTGGACTTCTACTCAGAAAATAGACGCGACCAGTGTGCAACTCGGCTCATACGCCCTTCTCCTTTCTATCAGCACAGGATTTCTGACTTTGGTTGGCAGCATATCACTTTTAACGAATGCTACATACTCGGCCAAACTGCTTCTCCTGTTTCAAGAAAAGACGATGGCAACTGATAAATATATTCACAAGAGCGAAGATGTGTCGAAGGGTTTCTCACTCCAAGACGAACCTGGATTCGGATTCACTAAAGGTATCGCTGGAGAGTCTCGACTTACATTTTTCGGCCTCTGGTGGTCGACGAGCCTCCTTGGCAAGCTCCCTTGTCTCCTGTTCGGCCCAGCTCTGATGTTAATTCCGCGTTTCCATCGGGATCGCCAAAGATCCAGAGATAACCAAAAGGCGCTCTTCTTTACAGTACACAATGTTACTTTCACTTGCACTGTCACTGAGCCTGATTTTGGTAGTATATCTCGTTCCCTTTCTAATTAGCCAGGTCCGAATGTAGAAACAGAGCAAAAGCGGGACAATCTGCAAGCTGATAAAGGGAAAGATAATGAAAACATTATCAAGCGTTAACGAGAGCACCCAAAAATAAACAGAAACTCTGACACCTGTGATGCTCACGCGTAAGCTCTCAGAGCTAGATGCTCCGTGTCACTTCGACCGGAAGACCCGCCTTCGCCTCTCTAGAGGTTCTCTCGACTTTGATAGATTCAAACCCGGCTCTATTTCGTGCTGAGAGTTCTTTCGTTCATCCATTGCTAGCATCAACGATCGTTTCGCTCAATTGAGCTCGTTGTTACACACTCACTTTCTATTTGATTCCATTGTCAAGGCCCAGGCAGTTCGAAAAGCACAGAGATTGGGCCGATCCATACGAAAAGACCCTGCAGAATAGCCGCAATTAGATACAAGAGGAAACCTCGCTGGTATATATGTGAGCGTTTATTTTCTCCATAGAATTGCGATGAAAGTTACTGTTTCCCTCACTGTCTCGGCACTACAAGCTGATAAGTATCATGAATGTCAAGCTGACAAAAACCCCATTCGCAGAACCTATATCCAGAGCTGGTCTGTTGGGTTCAATAGTCAAATCGTAGCTTACGAATACGTGGCCTGTTTACATGGTGGCTGACAAGGTGAACACATAGAGGCGTGCGACGAATAACAAAGAATAATACTTACGTAGTTGTCAGACGCTGTGAGCGCCTATTGACAAGATTTGCTGCATTTCTACAGCGTAATCCGTGCGTTTGATTGATCAATGTCTCCTGCAATTTCGCTTCTGGTTTCGCTGCTGTGTCGTACAGTCAATTGTACGTCCATCTACACACGCTGTCTCTTAATTGAATAGGAAAAGTTGCTCTCTACAGATCTTTAGAGATTATTATATAGTTATAAGTCTAGAACTGTTTTAATTAGATTAAGTCTCTTAAAACAAACTGAATTAGGCGAATTTAAAAGCCGTCTTCGCAATTACCTCAGCGACTCCCAGCAATTCCCCTTCATTCAGAGCTCTCATGTCCCAAATCACAATCGCAGTGCCTAAAGAGACATAGTTGCGCAATTAGAGCTCTTTGATCCGAAGCTTCAAGCTTTGATCGACGAGCATAGTGGCTTGCACTCTTGATATCGCCTCTCGTTGTGTGTTGCGTTAGCCCAACTGCACTGTATATCTTGGTTAACTAGATTGAAGGCAACAGGGGGATTTTTGCTTGCATGCCGGTTCACCCACCATCGTAAAATATCGGTTGTGATACGCCCAGCTGGTTTCTTACTCGGTAGAACTCGCCGGCTACGCCCCGATAAAGACAATGGGAAATTTGGCTGCTTTAATACAACCACCCTTGGCGGGGAGAGAGACAAGAAAAGCTGAGGTCAATGAACGACGTGTAGGACATATGTATTGGGGCAAAAACTGCCAGCTGAGTCGAGGGAATCAGGTTCTTCACAGGAGATACCAGAAAATATATACTTCAATAGTCAAGTCTCTCTCTCTCCGATCTACATCCTTCTTCTTCTTCTACCCTCCCGTTTGCTGCTCCAAGTCACCCACGCCCAACGCCTGAATGCAACCCGCAAACCACTGTCTAAACGTTGTATCCGCCCATTCAACCAGCACATGCAGCGCGGCCAGCACGTGGAACACGCCCAGCACCTCCCTCATGCTGCCGAGACTAATCTCACTCCAGATCACGGTCTGCATGCCTCCACTAGGGCCGCTCCTCCCCACGCGCACAGCGGCAAGAAAGTGCCAGTGCTCGCCCTGCACACGCAGTAGCGGCAGCCATGCCAGCTGCTGCACCTTTTCGCGTCCAAACAGCTCCTCCAGCCGCCGGAACTGCGCACTTACCCACACGGCGAGCTGGTATTGCGACTTGTCTTTTCCTTCGCCCGATCGCTTGGCCTCGACGGAGACGGCGATGGGGCTGCGGGTAAGGGAGTCAAAGGCGGTGTGGTTGATATGGGTGATGTTGTGGTTGGAGAGGATCTCGTTTTCGGCGGCGGTGAGGCCGATGGTGAGGGCGAGGTCGACGCGGGACGAAGGTGTGGTGGTTGTGGCGGCGGAGGGGAGGGAGATGGCGGAGGAGGGGTTGTAAGGAGCCATGGTTTCGTCGCGGAGGTTGTATTGGGGGAGGATGTCGGCGAGGGTGCTGGAGGGGTAGGTGCATTAGCTTGTGAGTGGAGCATACGGAAAGAGGTGAGAGGTGCAAAATGCGAAATGCGAGATGGGAGATGCGAGAGAAGGGTGGCAGAAGAGAAGTCTCACTCACATGTTCTCGATACTGACGTCGTCACAGTTGACAATCTTCGCCGTCTGGACGGCACGGTCCAGCGCAGGAAAGTGCGACGCGCAATTCCAGTGCGGCTCGGTCTTCATGAACGACTTATGTGCGCCGCGTAGCAAGTCGTTCAAGTGCTCCATGGTCAGCTTGGACGGGGCGTCGAGGAAGTCCCGAGCGTCCAGCAAGTCTGCATCAGACGGAAAGTGCCGGCGAATGTCGCCCTCGAGCGTACTAGGTATGACTGCCCGACGCGAGCACTTCCGCAACGTTGCCCACATGTCAGCAAGCGCATGAGGGAACTCGTCGCTGACGGACTGGCCGGGGTTGTATTCGCGTACATGGATGGGCTCGTCTTTGCGCATGGCGACGCGCAAGAGGTGCTTTATAGGGCTGCTGGATCGGGAGCCTTTTATTGGACTGTCGGCGCCGGACAACGACGGCGGGAGGCTGAGGGAGGAGCGCGACGAGTGATCAGAGGCGGCGTCGTCGGAAGTTGCTATCGCGGTGCCTGTTGCATATCGCCTCTTCTTAGGGTGCGGTGTGAGATTGACATCTTCGAGGCCGAGGTCAAGGCCGTCATTCTCATCAGTGTTGAGGTGGGCGTTGACATCGAGGCCGCCGGTGCTAGCGGCGCGGTGCTCAAGCACTGCACCACGACCGCGCCCGCGTCTACGTGGGCCTTCAAATGGAATGTGATTCTGATCGTGAGACGACATTGGCTGCAGCGCTGCTCTTGCTGGTCCTCGCTTGCGCTTCCGGCTAGTGGTGATGGTGCTTCAGTTCAACCGTGAATGGGATGGGTCGATAGCGTCGAGCCAGCTCTGGACCTGGGCGCGCCTGCCATACTCCATACAATATCGCAGGTGCCTCAGCTGTAACAGCGCACGTCTCTATTGCTGCTCGCGCTGCTGCTGACATTGGGGGGTTGCTGCTGCTGCTGCTGCTGCTGCTGTTGCTGTTGCTATTGTTGTTGTTGTTGTTGTTGTTGTTGTTGTTGTTGTTCAGTTGCTAGAAAAGGATTTAAGCGGAATTAGTAGTGCTCTAAACCTACTAACGTGGCTAGCTGACATGTGCGACATGTGCAACACACGCCCATTTGCAACATAATGGCTTGGCATTCTGGGTTGCAGAGCATATTTCTAATATTTCTAATATTCAAACGTTGCATTATCCAAACAAGTATTGCTTGATTCCGGAAATTCGACCCATCTCCCTGTTGGTTTGATGAATATTTTGTAGAGTCCAAGATTGGTGGCTTGAAAATTTGGTAGGGTTGAATGAGGAACTGATTGCAACAGCGATGAAGCCAATCCACTTCTTTGTCCGCTTCTTTTCGAGTTTTATCCTTAATGGCAGGTATGATTCTGCTTCAATGCAGAAGCTTGAACACTCCGAGGCATATTAGAGGAGGGCTGATCATGAGGATAGCAGCGCCGAGGACGATAACAAAAATTGGGGGAATACATCCAAGGCCCGTTAATTAAATCTCTATCAACACATGGGAACCATTGAATCCGACGCTTACCAACGTAAACCCACTCACCGAGCCAAACGGACGTGGTAAAGCTTCAAATTGATGTTGAACTTCAGAAATTGTAGAAGATGGATGCCACTTTTAATCTTCTGGTTCAAGAAGCGTGCTCCTATCACGGCAGTGTACGCCTATCCACCTTTCTGGCATAAAATGACCCAATTTATCATCGACTCACTTGCCGCCACTGTCAGCCAATGATAAATTGGGTCATTTTACGCCAGAAAGGTGGATACACATGGAAGACAAAAGTGCAAGTTTTACAACAAATCCCGAGCGTTTTGGTACTCAGATTCCTTCGCCTTCGTGGGTATATTTTTAAGATCTCGGCTATCGTACCCAAAATACCCTGAGAGCTCCCGTTGACTTCGAACCCTAATATAGTATCAGCAGCCTTTATCATATATGTGACAAGGCAGCACACATTGAGGAACTGCTCAGACGAGAACTCCGTGCTGGCAAATCATCCTTGCACGCGTCAATCTTGTGGCCCCTCTTCCCCGGCGTTGTCTTGCACTACTTGAAAGCGCGATAGCAGACTCATCACATCTCATATCAAGGATAACCCGTGCCAAATATTGGCACCAGAAATGGCGAAAACGTCTCTCTCATATATGAGAACCACAAACTCTAATTGATCATCTCGCTTGACTAGGTTGTGGACGTAATGGCGGCACTTCCTTCCCACGAATGACAGGCTGCTAAGACGGTGAATCTCCCCATTGCTTCCAGAGCCATTCTCCAGGAGGATAAGGGATCCATCCGGGACTAAATTCAGGAGGGCCGCCCCTCCAGTAACCAACTATTGGCGAGACAGGAAGCTTGGGAGGGGTTCTTCGCAAGTTTGCAAGTCGCAGTACGATCGAGTTGTTGAAATCAAAAAGCACTACTCGCAACGTAACGCTTCCTAGATCGTTGCCGCTACAGAGGACATTTCGCGGAGAAAAATCTCCGTGGTTGACGCCATGATGTTGCAGAGCAGCGTATCCGTCAATGGCCTTGACCATAATATTTGTGCTTTGCTGCTCGGAAAGCTTATCAGGGTCTAATTCAAACATGGTGACTCCTTCGATAAACTCCATCAGTATAAGTCGAACCGGTCTCATGGTGACCCCAGATGTCGTATCAACTGGCATTTCACATGTCCATGAACCGGTGATACTTTGGGATTACTGTCCCCCCAAACCGTCCTGTTAATTCCTCATAAGCAGCGCCTTCCCTGCTGTAGTCACACTCAGCCCATTCGACAACGTCCGCTCTGATGGAGGTGTCTTTATGGTAGGTCGGATAATACAGAGGATCGTATATCTTTGTCACCCACCCGTTGTCGACTAGAATGAATTGAGCGCCACGACCATCACAGAGAGCAAGCTCTTTGGTGATAACGAAAGACGAGGTTTCCTGACTCTTGGTAGTTCCTTCCAAAGGGGAAGCGGAGAGGCAATATTCCAATTGAGTCAATCCTTTCAGAGTCTTTCTTGGAGTCAAGGCACGAGAATTAGGATATGGTCGGCCAAGTGGCGGTGGTGAGTTGTGGCGGAAGATAGTAAGTTTCTGACCCTGCTTGTACGGTATGGCAGGCTTTTCGATGTCTTGAGGAGGTGATGAGAATAGCGGAGGAGGCGAAGACGGAGCCGGTTTTGTGGAGCTTTTGCCTAATTAGGTGTCACGGAGCATAGTTCTGGCAATGCACTACCCTTGGAATGGATTTCCCTCTGGAGAAAGGCATTCACTCTCACAGGACATCTGAAGCTTAGAGCTCTTGTGTCCTTGTGTTTCCCCTAATCTTAAGCCGCAGGTCGATCACTTCTATTACAAAAAATGCAGACTTAGCCTCGTGATCCTCCAAGGTTATGTAGTAAATATTTGGAGGCTGTGCGGAGTTGCTGGCGCCGCGTGTTTGAGCCTTGCACTGGCTACATTCAGTATCCTTCAACTCCGAAATTCCCGACGTGTTCTCCACTTACTTCAGACTTCACTTCCTTTGCGATTGGCCTGACCCAACTCCTCTCAAATTCCGTCAGACCCATTGAAGCTTCTGATCACAACCCTAAGCCTCGCCTCCATGAAGACCAAGGAGACTCTCTTAGGATTATCACTTCTGATTCCTGAAGAATGGATGGCATCATACAAAGGGTCAAAGGAGCAGAAATGCTCAATAATCGCCTCTCCTTAATGCTGACCCAGGAAGAGCACGCGCTGCGAGTGCGTGTTTAATGTATTTGGAAACGTTGTCAATGCTAAGTACAATGCCTAGGCAGAAATATACAACTTACATCTGCCAATGCCACATCTCTGTTCCGTTTCCGCATCAGTTTTGTTATAACACGGCAACGCGAACTGAGGGCGTTGCACGATACTACACGAGGAATCGGAGTATTGCACGTTGGTGCAAAACTACTCTACGCCATGTTTGGCAGAGAAGTCAACATGAGTGGGCCAGATATAACATGATCAAGTCTCATCCCCAGTCTTCGAATTAGCCTTAAAAGCGATCACCAGGAATTACTTCGAGGTCTTGAAGCTCTCGTTACTATTGCACATCTTACTCTATAATCGTCCACAAGCTTGTCTACAGGTGAGGATTTGGTGGTCTTGGGTTAGGGTCTCAATAGCTCACTCTGTCCTAGAAACATGAAGGAACTTGCATCAGAAAGAGTTGAAGAAATCCTACGAGGATTGTACCGGTATGATTTTCCAGACGCGGCTCGAAACCACATAGCGAACTCTCGTTTCCACGATCCCGCCTGCACAAATTTTAATTCTCAGCCGCAGCAATACCTCCTTTCCGAAGAATCAAGCCCCAATGCTCTCGCACTACCTAGCCAGTCACTCCACGGTCGTGGAGCGGGTTTCAAATCACCTATCGCCCTCACCGACTGCGGAAATTGAAAAGGCAGCCAATCGATACTCACGGAATTGCGATCCCTGTACTGCGGGCTCAGGTGGGAGGCGGAATCAGGAATTGGTTACAGAGAATGATGCCTACAAAATGGACCCTCTGTGGGCTGAGTTGAATGAGCTGGCGTAGCGCTCTCACACAAGGATGACGGGTTATATCGAGGAGCTTGGAACGAAATCAGTCAATGAACCGTGCACGTCGCCCGATTAGGCTATCGATTTACATGGTTACTTCTTCTTGGTGGCTGCCTGCGGTTTAGAGGTGATCTGAAGAGAAACTTGAGCTGTTGGCCATCATGCTGCACAGGAGACAAGCACTTGACCATCACTCTCGGAAATCGTGATTGCGGCTGGTATGGCTGTCTCTGGCAATGGCCTAGTTTCACCCATTTTCCACTGTCAGACACTGCATTATTCAACCGCTAGGCCACATCGAACTTCCAATCTTTTATAGCAAAGGTTGCGTAGTCCAGTCCCCCTTCTGTAAGGTCCTTTTGATGGTATGTCGTATGCTTGAACTTGTTCTTTCGCAGCGGCTTTCCGCTTCCGTCAGTATATGACTCGTGCCGTAGCTGGTCGCCCGCCGTACGCATTAGCATAAATTGAATGGAATGATGGCTATAAGCCCCTTGCATTGATAATTGAGACTGCAAAACTAAATGATGAGCGCGGACCGATTAGTCCTAGGACTAATCACAAAGACAACTTCTTCCACACTTTTCCATCATGTCCGCCTCCATACTGTTCTTGCTTGATCCGGTTTTACCCATCCATCTCGGTGAATGGGTGTGTCAGAGGAAGCTGTTCATTGGGGTCCATTGTTTGTGTATTTGGCACCTGTCCTGGACCGGCTCGTAAGGTATGATCCTGTTCATCTTCCCACGAGAGGGGCTGAGAGTCACCGCCAGTATCTACCAAAACATCGTCCCGATTTGGGCTGGGTATTTGAGAGATCAAACCAGGGTTCACCACCGTCGTGACCATGTCTGCCACCGGAGCTCTTCTGACGTCCCTTGGGTCATGGGAAGTAAGATGGCCGGGAGCATATGCAATGTCAGCTGATTGCAGAGGCAAGGGATAAGTATCAGGCTGATTTACAGAAGGGGTTCCAGAAAAGAAACCTGAATCCGGTGCATGCGGGTACGGCTGGGGAATCCGGGATTCTCGATTAAGCAAAGAGAATGGAGATCCATCATAGCCGAATACATCATCACCAAAGACTATTGGTTGATACTGAGAAATAGCGGCAAGCTCATCATCTTGCCTGGGTTGTCGTTGGGGAGTCGATGCTGGATCTGGTCTCGTTGACGAAGAGCCATTACTCCGTGGTCTGATGACAGCGGACTGGTGGCTATTGATTAAGTTCAAAATGGGGTTCACAAGCGTCGGGTCGTGGACCATCTCAAGGAGCTGAGCCTGGAGCTCAGCATCATGTAGCCGCGTGTAGGCACATGATTCGTTGTAAGACGCATAGTCTATGCTCTCATCCGTGTAGACTAGGGTAGTGTCAGACTTCCGCTCATCTGGCCTTTTGAGGCTTGAAAGTTGTACTTACAGGGAGACGGTATATGATTGGTTTCAATCTCGGGGAACAAGATTTGATAGACGTCTTTCCAGTACTCAAGTTCGTCCCCAGACTTCCTTTTTCTAGTGCGAGACTTGAGCAGGGATTTCTGGTCCTCATCAAAACCGTCTGCATAATTTCTTTCACGCTGCACAGGACAGGCTCGCTCAGCCGTGGCGTGCTCGGAGAGGCCTTGGTCGCTTTGGAAGATTTGCCGACATCGCCGGCAAACTATAGCAAAATGCCTACCGTACAGGTGCTGCCTATTTCCGAGTCAGCGACACATGTATCATGAAGTCTAAGACAGTGGCTCATACTTTAGACGGCGGACGTCTGGCCACCCATCAGGTCCCCGGCATGTCTTCTGTGCGCCGTATCTTCCAGGATCGTATTTGAAGTATGGACAAGCCAATCTCAACGTGGGCCTGCCGGTAGAAGGAGGAGCGAGGTCCAGAGCTGGGTGTTTATTAGGATCGTCACCAGATCCGCCATTCTCATCGCCTCCTCCGGAAGCTTGACCGTCGCGCCCCCTTTTGGGAGGTGTCTTTTGAGACTCTTTAGCTGCCCTACTTATTGGCTCACTGCCTCTATCTGGAGGCGATGCACCGGACCCAGGAGCAGCATCCGGACTTCGAGGACAGCACAATGGCAGACCCCCAGGTGCTCTCAATAATGCATAGATCACTCGATCCGCCCATGTGGTCACACTTCCTGTCAAGGTTTCCACTTCGGAGCACGGTACACCAACCGCATGATCTAATAGAAGCCCTACTATCTCTTGGTGGCTTCTGATGGTGGCGTAGTATAATGGAGTTCGCTTTGAGAAGCGATCGAGAATATTAGGATTGGCACCGTGAGCGAGGAGATGTGAGACCATGAGGGCGTTGCCGCGAGCAGCAGCAAGATGGAGAGGTACTTGCCCATAGTGCATGTCAATCAGGTTGGGATCCGCCCCATTCTCAAGTAGAACCTTCACCACTGTCTGATGACCTCTCGCGGCGGCAATCGCAAGTGGTGTGCTCCCACCAATACGGTCATCAACGTCAGCTCCTGCTTCGAGGAGTAGTTCAACCATCATCTGATGACCTTGTAATGCTGCCCAATGCAAAGGCGAAAGGCCATGACGATTGTCCCTCGTGCTGAGGCTGGCTCCTTTCAGGAGTAGCAGTCGTACAACCGCCAAGTGCCCTTTTTCGGCAGCCCATGATAGCGGTGTGCGGCCAGCAGCATCCCTAACATCCCAATTCACATTGATAGACCTATCAACTTTGTGCATAGCCAAGGCCAAATTGTAGAGTCCGAAAGCGGCAGCAGCGTGTTCGACTGTCCATCCTCCGCCGGCAGAGATCGCGTTGTCGTTGGACCTTTGTTGATAAAGTAGCGACCAGTGGCTGATGATTCTAGTCGATGGCCAACGCAAGTTTCGGAGCAGAAGTTGATAAGAGGAACTTGGTCGATCAGCCAATTTTGCATGTTCTGGCCAGTACATCGTGGCGTACGGCAGCAATAGATATTTTGAACGTTGCTGGACCACGAATCTAGCCGTGGAACTTGCCTCTGCGTGGAAGTAGAGATACTGAAGGCATATGTCTGCGATGTACAAGTCAGGACACTTGAGGTAGTCGTGTTCCGAAGCTGCCTTAGAGCTAGTCCCCATTGCCTTGGACCAATTGGCATTCTGCAGAAAGTCGCGAGCAGACTGATGGGCCAACCGCAGCACAAGGTAGGACGTTTCGCCATCCATCCCGAGCTCCGAGATCGTTCCTAGCTTCTGGTACTCTCTGGTTTCGACAAAGCCCCAGCAAAGCTCTGTGATAACCCGTGCCTTATCGGCTTTGGATACCGAAACTAGAGACTTTGGTAGAGCGCCAGAAGCAAAACGTGGCAACGCACCAAACTGTAACGCTTCTTGCAGTTCCTCAACCAAAAGTGGTCGTCTGGCGAAGGTGATCCATGTGAGAATTCTTCTGACAAGGCCGTCTGAGTCTCGTTCATTTTGGATGTGTCGGTCCAGAATCGTACAGTAGACATCGTCCAAACCACTAGGAATCGCCCATAGCGTTTGTTCTGATATTTCACCCGTATCACTGCCATGAGCGAGAATGTCCAATGCCAGGCTCACCCAGAGAAACACTCCTGACGCTCTCTTGACTAACGATTCCAAGATGTAAGGGTTTCGAATGGAGAGTCGTAGCTGTCGCTCTAATTTCAGTTGCGTGAATCGCTGGATGTCTTGGCAATTTTCATTGGGAAGGAATATCTTCCGATGCTGTGCAAAGCAGAAAGGCTCAATATTAGCACGAGGCCGACTGGAGACGCACAATCTGACTACATTTCCCAACGCCTTTGAATGAATCGATGAGAAAAGAGCTAACACTCGGACAGCTTCCTCTCCTGAGCATTCATCAAGGCCATCAATGAAAAAAAAAAGCTTGTGACTGTCGGATATTTTCGATATAGATCTCTCCAAAAGATCCTCTAGGTTGTTCGCTAGCCACTGCTCGCGCTGCTCGCCACTCCCGCCAAGCTTGCTGTAACGTTCCCATCCCTGCTGGAACCGGGGAACGTAGTCAGACATCACACTTGGAATCTGTGATAGCAGCTGAAAGAGTAAAGACTGAAACAATTCCCTAGCCGATCTGCCAGGGATATCTCTGGAGTAATGGAAGAAGTATGAGGCTGTGATGGCGTTCGAACTCAAACACCTTTGTTTCAATTCTTGAGTAATATGTTTCACGAGTGTCGATTTGCCTGACCCAGGAGTGCCCTTCAGCCACAGGAAAGATGAATGATCCTGTTCCAACCAGGACACAAATTCTCTGTGCTCAAAAATCCAATTGCAGGTACCTTCATAAGCGGGATTGGCGATATGGCTCCCGTTGTCAATTCTGAGCCGTGCCAGGAACTCTAATCAGTGGTCATCAAAATTACCCATTACAGTCTGACGAAAACGGGGACTGACCTTGTTCTTGCCGGTTGAGTGCTCTTGGTTCCTCAACCTTCCGGCGAAGGATCTTCTTCAGTTCTCCCAATACTCGCTGGTATTTTGGTTCGGTGGAGCTGGCAAATTTGCAAATTGTCTTCGATTATCGTAAGACTGCGGATACAGAAGACTTTGTGAGATTCTCTTTACCTCGTGGTCTGCGTACAAGGGTACACAAGAAAAGTGCCCGGGCACCGCTGATGGTTCGTCGACAACCTGTACCAGTCAGATACGCCAAGCTCTGGAGGTTTGCTGTCGATTACCAGGCCAAAGCCAGGAACAGGAAGTTCTTCAAAGAACGATGCAACCTGGATATTGAGCAGTTTTCGTGAGTGCAACTCCTCGAAGGTCTGCTGAATAGCTTGCCACGAGGCAACCGACTTGCGCAGGAGCCCTGGAATATCCGATTCCACTCGAATGCCTCCCGCAAATATAGCGTACTGGAGTACCTTTCTTATGTCTTCAGCTCGGGTGCTATGAGGCGTACTGAGAAAAACGGCTCCCAAGGTGGAATGTAGGATCTCCCGATAAGTGTTATTGGAGCTGTTTAAGGCAATGAGTAGCGCCTGTTTTACGATGATCCCACCCGAACTATGGGCGATGAATATGAGTTCTCGACCGATCTTGCTAGATTGCTTAGCTTTCCAGGTTCTACGTCTTGCAGACGAGGTCAAAATAAGGACCATTCAATAAGATGGGACGTGGGGGACAGTTAGAGTGTCGGAGATTCAAAATCGTTTCTGGTGCAAATCAACACCCAAGGCCATGAAGACCAGCAAAATGCCTCGAACAAGACTATAAAAGTTAACGAGCATGGTGTTATGCTGACCTTTTGATCCGAATCGCGCCGCTCCACCAGCTCTCTGAGCAGATTTTCTGCTCTTTGAGAAATGACCTCGGTCGTGAAGTGCGTTGCTTGAGCCTGATACCCGAAGGTAAGAATCCTAAGTCCTGGGACGTCCTCAGAAAGAAGAGTCTGCGGCCAGAAGGTGGAAGTCCCCAGTGCAACCCATGTGCGATATGGGTCACCTCCGAGACCATGCACGCACACTATGTCGGTAAGGGTATGGGAATCGTCCCCAGAGCTGCCTTTGGCCTGGATTGGGCTTAGTATCACTTCTGCTGTCATCCTGAAGTCTGATAAGACTCTTACGTAGGTACACAATTTAGATGATCACGTACGTTGAGATAGTTCGAACCCGAATCAAGGATATAATTATCCAAATCGCTATAACCAGCTATCGAAGAGGTTTCTCAAGTGGCCCAAGCTGAATGAGAAGACGCTGTTTGATGTAAGTTAGCATTTATGAGTTCTCCTTTTGCGCATTGCTGAAAGTGCTGTTTAAGTCGGAGGATAGTTTCGCTGCCTGAGGTTATGCGAGTGCTCGCATAACTCCTCTGTTGCCAAATACCCCTCCAAGTGGTGCCCCACTGGTATGAAGCCATTGCAAGGCTGTAAATGTGCACAAACGTAATGGGCAGACAGAACAGCCTTGGGGAAGGCTGGAGCCATTCAGTCTATCTGCCAATTGGGCAACAAGTGCGCACGCAGTGCCGAAGTGATGATACGTAGAAAATGCTCGTTGATTGATCAACCCTTCCTGAAAGTGGAATCGTGGTGATGGATCAGAGTTCTTTGTATTGAGACATCATCAGCACTCACTTCGTCCTTCATACTGTGCGGTCCAAAAGTGTTGAACTCAAAAATACAGTTCGCGCTATTTTGCTACGTGTGTCACCAGCGTTTTGTTACAGATTTGATACGCATTTTGCATCAGCCACATATGTATTTTTGGTATCTGCGTTTCGCGCTATTGCGCTTGATATAGCAACTTTGTATGTATAAGTACGCGCTGCTTTCGCACTGAATTAGATAGAACAACTTGCTATTTCCACACTGATCCATTGATTAGTCAGCACAGTTCGTCAAAAAGTGTTGCGAATCCTTAGCGGCCCAAAATCTGCTGCTGCAGCTCAACCACTTTATAGTGAATTCTTCATTACGCCGTAAGAAGCCTTGAAACCTATATTATTCTGTAGCTGTAGCCTAGGAGACTTAGTTTAAGCTGATTTCTTATGCGTCAACAGTCCTAAATCTGCGGGAAAGAAAAGTGATTTTCTGGATTTGTTAAGAATTCTACAGAATTGTGGGTACCACTGTAGTTTGAGAGCCAAGGACAAATGTGCCGATGCTTAACGCCAAGGGTTCGCAACACTTTCGCAATGCACAGTAGGCTCAAGAAGTTGATTGAATGCACTCAATGAATACCACAATAAGTCTTCCTTGACATCCCTTTCATTGAGTGAAACATTGACTTTTTATAGAGCAAACCGTGGTATGCTCCTCCACACCAACCGCGCACCAATTTTTGAACTCTGCAGAATTTTGTCATCTGACCTGGGGAGTAGAATGCTCCATTGTGGCATTCTTGCGACCGAAGGACCCTGGGAATAGGGTTGCTGGCCGACCTGCCAGGAACAGCATTATTATTCACGAGACAGGAGGATCATCCCGCCCACATGTTCTCGGCTCTATCCATGGTTGGCAGCAGCTCGAGAATTTGGAGCTAAATCGCCGGCCAAGGGATTTGTGTTCGTCTGACATCGGAGCCGAGGACAAATGTGTTGATACAATCCTAGGTAACGATGTGGGGAGAAGATGTCCATCCAATATTTAACCGAGGCATAGCATCGGCAACCGTCTTTCTGGTAGTCAAAAACGGCATTGATCACTCCGGCCTTTTGTGCATCATGTCAACGACATGACAGCTGCCAGATAGATGCCTGAGCCATGGATATCTGAAGATGCCTGAACGTGGTACCGTGCTGCCTTGACCGCCCATGCAGTGTCTTCCCCCTGTTCAGCTCTCTGCGCGCCTGAGGTCTTCAGGCAGCCCCCTCCCGCTCTCTCCGCTTACCGATTGGCGAAATGCTTCATCAATGCATCGGCTGACCCCCTTGCCCGCTCGAATGCCTGCAACGGGTGATTTGACAATGCATGCCCATGCCGGAGTAGTGGCTGTGGAGAGCGTCCACCGTCCGATGACAATCTCCGCACATTGCACATTGCGAGATGGACATGTCGATGTCTTGACGAGCGAGTCCAGGTTGGTGACCGAGTTAGTATGTTCTCCTACTTGGTGCCGCCGAAAAGTGAGTTCTAGTCTGACATCAAACCGTCCCTGGTACAGAGTAATGATGTACAGATCTCGTGGATCCGGTTCGTTGATTAGAGTTTTTCAGCATCCCTACCCACTTTTGAACCTTATCTCCTGTGGATTCATTGGTCATTCTTACTCTTGCAATTATCTTCATTGGACACTAGAACTCATTTCTCGGCAGCACCGAGTATGTGGCATGGTTTCGTTGTACATGGATGCTACTCTCTGCTCTGTTGACCATTTCGTGCGTCTCTCTTCTAGCCTCGTGCGGTCTTTTTCAAAGTATAATAGCATCACACCACTCAGCTATCATCAGCCATCAGGCATCCTGCAGGCATCATCAGCCATCATGGCGGTCGTCCTCTTGTATATATTGTCCCACCTCCTGTCCTTCCTGTCTATTCTTTCCTTCCCTCATTTTGCTATGACTGCCCCAGTAGACCCTCGACAATCGCAACCACCAAACAACACAGTTGGTGATGGAGCGGATGGAGGTGTTCCTGCATCTGCGATCCAGCAGAGTACATCTGAGCTGCCAGTCTATGTACGCGATTACGGTTTGTCTAGTACACCAATCGATCATTCCTACGTATACTGAATTGGCCAGCACCACTCGTGTGGCTCTCAGGCTCGGAGCGGTACATGCCGTCCGACATCGCAAGCCAAGTTGCCAACACCATCCCAAAGATCAATGGCGCCCCCGTTGCCCAAGCCCCGTCTCCACTGACCTTGAATAATCTGGATCAACTCAATGCGCAAGGTGGTAAGGACATCTGGCTAACTTCGCGGGAAGGCATCCCAGCGTATCCCAAATGGTTCGAAGGGGTGACCCCAGATGGGAACCGAAAGACCAATGGTGCCACTACTGCCGCCATTGTGACAGTGGACAAGGGTAACGGCAACTTGGACGCATTTTATTTTTACTTCTTTGCCTTCAACCGAGGCAACACTGTCTTGGGACAGGAATTTGGAAGCCATGTTGGAGATTGGGAGCACAATATGATCCGTTTTCAAAATGGAGTGCCACAAGCCGTCTACTTTTCTCAGCACGCTTCTTCGCAGTCATTCACGTACAAAGCGGTGGAGAAGAATGGCATCAGGCCTGTTGCCTATATTTCAGAGGGGTCACATGCTGTATATGCGACGACTGGGTAAAGCGCGAAGATAATCTATGAATGATGGCTTACTGACTTTCGTAGCACTCATGACCATACAATACCGAGACTAAACCTTCCAGGCGGCCTGGTCGAGGATCATTGCGATCGCGGCAAATTATGGGATCCCGTACTGAGCACATACTCGTACCGATATGACCGCGTCTCTCAGAAGTTCTCCCCGTATGATCCGGGCTTCCCGGTTAACTGGCTCTATTTTCTTGGACGATGGGGAGATGACGCGCCGCCCAAAGGCTCAGAGGGCCAATTTGAGATTTTTGGACAGAAGAGGTATGTTGGAGGACCGACAGGACCGATGGATAAGCGGTTGGATCGCGAGAACATGAGTGGTGTCAAGAACGACAATTGGGTACGACCTTTCCTAACTCCATGAGCATAGATTTTCTGGTTGTGTGGGGCGGCCATTTGCGTGTTTGTTATGAGTGACTTGTACGGAGTAGGGGCACTGGATAGATCATCACGTCGTCGTATCTGTGATAACCATTACGCTTTTATTGGTGTTCAAGTCGGGCGCCAAATATGGTAAAAGTGCAGAGTAGCGTTTCAAGTTAAGCAACGTGGAATGATATTGGTAGACTTGGAGATGGTGAACCTTGCACTTACAGACAACTAGTCACTCAATGCAGAGACGGGCCAATCAGTGTTCTGACCCCTGAGTTTAGTCACTTCCGGACATTAACTGATCTCCCAGTCCCTGGTGTTGGGCATGTTACCATTATTATGTATTGCTGACTCGCAGCAGCTCCACTGTTGTGCGACCAGAATCAAACGTCGATTCCTCACCTTCTCTCCATTGTTCAGCACGTTCCATTATTCACGCCTAGGTTGAGTGAGCTGATCTCCTTCAGTTCAGCCTCGAGATTGTTTGCAGCTGGCCGCGTTATCGCCAACTCTATTTGCCCTGCACGCAATCCCTGAGAAAATCCCAATAATTTCTATCACTCAACCCGATAGTACCGAGTAACACTTATTCATCGTTTGAGCTCTGAGCAACACATGATCTGATGCCCCGTCACAGTCATCTTACTGTCCATACAGAAGTGTCAAGTGAGTAGCTGCTCCCTATTCGTGGCATCAAGTACAAGGCGCTCATAATCGAGCTGTAAGATAAAATGCCACAAGCCTGCGCGACTGACACTTCTGAGTTTCTATATAGTTGTCAACCATATCCCTGGTATAGCCGGGTAGTCCTTACCAGGCCCGACCTGAAACAGAACAAGATTAGAAGGAACCACTTTCCCCGAAGCCAGTTCCTCTTCCCTCGCAATGCCTTCCCCATCTCCTCCTCGCCAGGCATCGCCATTGCCAATACCTTCTCCTCCCGACTCCAAAAGTCCCAATCGCAGAACGTCCTTCGGGTTTCTGCATCGATCCAGGTCCAAAGAACCGATCCAGAATCGAAAAGCTTCGGGCGGTAAGATTACCAAGAAACATCATGAACAAGCAAGGGAGGAAGAGTTGAGGCGGTTGAAAGAAGCTAGCTTGATGCCTGGAGCCGTGCCTACGCTGCCTGTGCTGACCCCGTCCCCTCAGCTGCAGAGTTTTGTTGGAGAGGGTGCAACGCCGGATAGAGCTGCTGGGAAGAACACGAACCAGTCAATGGAGGCTCCCACTCGAACTGTGCCCGTACCTCCGATTCCTAGGGTGTCTCAGAGCCCCGACCCATATACCAGGAGTGAAAGTATAACCCACCGTGGTCGTTATAGCTATGCTGCTAGCGCAGTGAGCTCGATTGATAGTCCGAGAAGAGTCAGGAGACGGAAAGACCCAACGCCATACAAGTGAGTTACTCAAGTGGTCAATCTTCATGTAGCTGACATGGGTGCAGTGTCTTGGTAGTTGGTGCTCGCAATTCTGGCAAAACATCTTTCATCAACTTCCTTCGCATATCACTGGCCGCGAAGAAGCGCTTAAACCGGCCGGGTGAGAACCTCGAAACGCCAATCGCAGGCAAGACCAATAAGAGTTTTGTGCATCACTACCTCGAAACGGAGATCGACGGTGAACGTGTCGGCTTGACATTGTGGGACTCGCAGGGCCTGGAAAAGAATGTGGTGGATCTTCAGCTTCGTGAGATGAGCACTTTCATTGAGAGCAAGTTTGAAGACACCTTTTCCGAGGAGATGAAGGTCGTGCGTGCACCTGGTGTACAGGATACTCACATTCACTGCGTCTTTCTCATTCTAGACCCTGTTCGTCTGGATGCGAATATACAAGCCGCTCGTCAGCATTCGTCGATTGAGAAAACTGGAAAGATCCGCAATACGCCGGCGCGGATCATTGGTGCTCTTGACGAAGATTTCGACCTTCAGGTGCTGCGTACTCTGCGCGGAAAGACCTCAGTCGTGCCAGTCATCAGCAAAGCAGACACCATCACTACAGCTCATATGGCGGTTCTGAAAGATATGGTCCACAATGGCCTGAAAATAGCGGGTCTTGATCCATTGGAAGCGCTAAGCTTCGACGAAGAGGAAGAGTTCGACGAAGAGGACAATGCCATCGTCGAAAAATTTGACGAACGCGATGAGGACGAAGAGAATGCCAGGAATAAAAGTACCAGCCCAGATTCAGAGGATGGCCGTGGCTCACCACATACCTCAGACTCAGACACTGTTCCACAGGATCAACCCACTCCAGTCGCACTACGACGCAGCAGCCAGCGATATAAATCTGTGGCAACTAGTGGCACATCTGAAGAAGGTCTTATTGATCCGCCATATCTCCCCTATTCGATCCTGTCACCTGATGAATACAGTCTGGCATCTAAAGATGGACGGGTTGGAAGAAAGTTTCCATGGGGATTTGCCGATCCATACGATCCTGAGCATTGCGATTTTACCAAGTTGAAGGAGACGTGCTTCGGTGAATGGAGAGCCGAGCTAAGGGAGGCAAGCAAAGAGATCTGGTATGAAAGATGGAGAACGTCGCGTTTGAATCGACAAGGCATCAACGCAAACGGTACCGGCGCAGGCAGCAGGACCTCGAACGGCCTTTCGAAAGGAGTACCACGTTGACCGAAGCCTGAGTCTAGGTGGTTCAATATATTTGGCATCCTTGAGCGCCTCCTCATGCGTCTTCGATTTTCATTTCAGTCAGGCAAGCCATAGGAGTTGACACATGACGAGCATGGAGAGCTGTGGGGTTTATTTTCAGTTCGCGTCAACAGCTCACATTCCGCACCACACAACGCACCCCCTTGATATGCAGAATTTTCCGGTCTTACTTGTACATTTCTCAGGGGGGGCCAAATGATACCACAGTGCTAGCAATGAAAGCAATTTACACAGCCTAGGATCCTAGAGATGCAGAAGCAGAAGCAGAAAGCAGAAGCCTAGACGGTGATGTTCTTGCGTAGTCCACGTCATTACTTCTATCATCTTCCTATCTTGATGACATACATCCAGCAAGAACCGCGGGAACTTATGACCTCCATATCCGAACAGGGGGTAGAAACTCTTGCTTATTTGATCTTGTTCCCACTTCCGCGGGAGCAGGCCATCATAGTACAAGTTCCCAAGAAAGAAGATTTACTAACCTCGAAACTTTCTTAGCTCTTGTAGGATCACTGATTTTCTCCTAGTTAGTCACAAGGATATGTATCAGAACACCGGTAGTTTCTCCTTTCTAGATCAAATGGGACGGATAAAAATAGCATCCTAACCTGTCTCCCTTTTAAACTGGCAATCATCTATTCTAACTAGTTGTCATATTCTCCATATTGAAAAGCAACGAACTCCCAATCCCATATCTTTTTTCAACTCATCTGTATCCAGCCCCTTTCACACCAGTCCCTGAAGCAGCCTTTCAGCATGTAAAAAGCCCCCCCCCCGGCTCCCCAAATTATCATCCTCTTCGCAACTTACTCTCCGCTCATATCTCCTTCTCGTAAAGAAACGCTTAGCTCGAGCTTGGTCCGCCATGCATGATGCCGATTGTTAGGATAATAAGTGGTTGTGCTCTGTGCGGACGGCGTGCCGCATCACTCCTGTCCTTTTGGTCCAGATGGCAAGGCATATGGAGTACCCTCAGACACCGATTTGGAAGGCGTCGTATTAGAGTCTAGCTCCAGCACCGCTACTATACTCCTTCAGAACTTTAGGTAATGGATGAAAGTCTGCGAGATAATCATCTGGCGTGTTCATCACACGGTCTGAGTTGCCGGTTGCGTCGTCTAGATGTTGCATCTGGAGGCGGCGAGGGTCGCTGATTGGGAGCTTGGGAAGTGTGCGGGAACCCCGTGCATCTTTCAGATGGGTAGTCGGAGGGACCGGAGGACCGCATTTGTAGGGGATAGTAAGTTCTCCTCCCACACTAATGCAGCGGATTGTATTGATGTGCTTCTAGGAGAAATCTGCCCCTGGTAGCGATCTCGTATTTGCTGCTGCACGAGTTTAAGTGGTTGATGGCAGAGATTAAGGCCAGACTGATGTTCAGGATTCGCATTTGGCTTGGCTGGAATATGCATCATTCCAAGCAGAGCAAGCTTTGGAAACCTCTTTCATAACGGTTGTCTGACCTTCAATCAGTGCTACTTCGGTATGGGACAACTTGAGAGGTTGGTACAGTCTAGAAGCGCTGGTGGATAGGTCAGCACGTACTATCGGGCGGTTGAAACTGGCGTATGCCTGTCACCGCTATTGACTCTCCAGCTCTGGGAGCGATTTGTTATTCATATTGATATTCTCCCGGAGAGGAGGGTCGTCCGCTGGCACCGCTGGTGTGCTTGCTGGCCGAGGTTTCTGTGACTGCACCAGTTGGAAGAGATGTGCTGCTCAAGTCAGCAAGAGGACTCATCGACTCAGAAGGAGTTCAGGTGGCAGTCCAACCCAGTCGCGATGATGGCTTGGCCAGAGAGGTCGTTCCGAATAAGCCTCATCCCGTTGACCTTCAGCTGGGCCGAATACTCACTTAGCTCTTCTATCAGAGTCCTAGTGCCATCTTCTATGTCAATGTCTTGACTTTGATTCCCCAGAAGGCCGATCAAGAGCGCCAGAACAACATCAGATATTGTACAGAATTGATTCGACTCGCCATCGTCTCCTAAACGCCGATTCGAGATGCTAAGAGCATTGCGAGCCAGGGACCTCTGTGAGACGAACGTCTGGTGGTCGACGTTTGACACGGCGCTTGCCGGAAGAATCATTTGCCGAGTTCACGGCTGGAGATCGCTGTCGTTTGTATTCTCCTAGGTGCATCGACCTGGCCTCGGGAGGACACGAAAGGTCCGCCAGTGATGGCACTTTGCTAACCAGATAGTCAGGGACAGCACCAGATGGTCAAGACAGCTCCAGAGCTTCCGAATTGTGAGCCATTAACCATCTCTGTTGTGGCAGCGGAGTCAAAGACTTCGCTCTACACCATGACCACTGATACACCCTGTTCCCAAAAGCGTAGAATGTCGACAACACGACGGACAATACATCTTGACAAGAAGTGTATGGAGTCTGCGGTGGTCGATTCACATTCACGCATAAGGATTCCGTGCACCCTCACCGTATAGGGTGCAACGAGCGAGTCCTGCAGGGAGTAGTGCTAACTAGTAGCTGTCAGGTAAGTACTATATTGCTGATTGGTTATTATTTATTTTATTTATTCCTTGCTTGCTTGCTTGTGTGTTGTGTGCTTCCCCTTCCTCTTCCTCTTCCTCTTCCTCCTCTTGTTGATATCTTACTCTTACTTGAAACTCTTACTTGAAACTCATAATCTGTTCGGGTTGCAATAGCATCGCATAGTGACGAGAATCCTCGCTGTACATACTTACATACACCGTGGCCGAACATAGCCACAGGCGGCGTGGATATACTATTGCGGCAAAGAGCTGAGCTGGAGCTGGAGCTCGCCTCGTTTCAGCCAGATTGAACCGTGGCCCCCCGCTGGGTGGAAATCTTAGATGGCTTCTTACTCTCTCTCCTCTTCTCCTCTTTTCGACAGCAGGAAGGCTTGAATACTACGGCCTTGTCTTCTAGAGAGGGACAGAGGGATGGGCAGGATATGATATGACATGAAATGTATGGATAGATCATTTAGGTAGGTAGATAGATAGTCGACTGACCGACGCAAAAGGAAAACCAACCCTCTCCACCCCATAACGTCGGAGATATGATCACCTTCCAGCTCGTCGTCACGCACTCATTCCAGACATATAATTCAGACACAGCATGCAGAGAACGTTCTGATCCGCAAAGCAGCTCGAGGTTACATAATGTCATGGCACTCGTAGAGTTTACTCACAACTCCCTTTTCTCCTGGCTACCCAATCCGGCAACTAGCTGATATAGTCATTATGGATATTACCATCTCTAGGCGGGAGATGGGCTTCCGTTGTACGTTTGAGTATGGAAGAAAGATGATAGACCTCCAAGCAAACCACTCAGTGGCGAGGCTTCCGCTCCTCGACATCGTAGTCATAGCCATAGCCATGCGTGGTCTCTCTATCGCGATCCCTCTCCCGTACCCTATCGAGCTCCTTCCCACCACTTGACCTTCTCTCACCCCTACCACCCCTCTCACGATCGCGCTCTCGCTCCAGCTCCCTTCCTCCACTAGCCCTCTTATCCCCATGCCCTCCTCTGCTATCCAACTCGACCTCCAAACACCCGGCGACAAACTCAACCCACTCGCGTCCCTCGATCGTCTTCATCGAACTCCAAACCTCCCTCTTCAATGCCACGCCCACCTCAACCCTATACCTCTCCTCATAGACGCGCTTCACCCTCTCCATATGCCTCGGATCCCAATGCAGCCTGACCGCCCTGCTGATCAGCAACTCGGCCCTCTCCCTCCCGGGCGCCGTCTCAGCCATAGCCTGATGCAAGAGCAACGCATCGCGCATCGGACGATTCAACGCGCCGTTCAAGATGTGAGCGAGCGTCTCGCCGACCAGATTGCGTGATTTCGAGATCATCTCGCGTGCAAAGTTGAGGTGGAAGGTCTTCTCGAATGCGCGGAGCACTTCGCGGAGGTGGGCATCCGATCGCAGCACGATGATCTGGATCATGGCCGTCTCGCCGCCGTCGCGGCTGGTCAGCGCTCGATACAGATCCCTGACGTCGTGGGCAATGAGTTCGGGATCCAGCGCCGCCGAGTCGGCCATGCGGTTCTCCTCCAATGCCAATAGAATTGCGAGCCGGAATTTATCCGCCTTGAGTTCGGCGCGCATGCACTTCTCCAGATCGTCTGCGTAGCGTTTGTCGCGGAAACAGTTCTTGATCTCGCGCATGTCGGAGTTGGAGCGGCCCATCAATGATTCGATGAGGAGTTCGCGTCGGCTGCCGCCGGATTGGTACCAGGAATTGGCCCAGTACGCTTCGGATTCCCATCGTCCTAAAGCGGTGGCGTAGGTGGCTTTGCCTAGGTTGCCGGGCACACGCATCTTGATGTGCTTGGCCATGTTGATTCCTTTTCCGGAGGCTTTGGCGTGGTTTTTGTATTCGGCGCGGAGCGCCAGCATATCTTCTGTTGAGAGGTGCGGGAGGATGGAGATTAGAGGGCGGGTGTTTGGTGCGTGGTGGGTCCCGGAGAGGGCGGAGGCAATTTTCAGGGCGTCTGGGACAGGGTCATAGAAGGAGACGCGTTTTGGTGTGCGAGGCGTGGCTGTTATGATTTCGAGCCCACCGGTAGTGGTGGTGGAGGCATTTGAAGGGCGGTGTTTGTGGGAAATCACGATGTCTTGCTCTTTGTCCTTGGATTTGCTTGACTTTTTGGATGATTTCGTCTTGGTCGTAGATATGTCGAGGTCGGAGAGGTCGGAGGAATCAGAATCGGTAGGCTTGGTTTTGCCGAGCATCAGTGGTGATGGCATGGGTGAAATGGATTGGTAGGTGCCATGATAAGCTTCCAGGAGAGGAGAAGCAGGTGGACGACTATCATCACCACCACCATGAGGAACGTTGCCAGCTACCAATCCTGCTCCTAGTCCTGCACCTCCTGAAATTGCAAGCCGGCCTAGACGGGATGCTAGCTCTTTCTTCGAGGGAGCATCTTCCTGCCTGTACTTCTTCTCTTGCCTCTCACCCCTACCAGTCCCTGGCTTGACTTCCACGTACTGAGGATGAGGAGACTGTGAATACTGCGGAGCACCATAGTTCTGCTGTGGATTTTGCACGTATGTCTTCTCAGACTTGGGTTTGTATTTGATGTGTGGGTCGATCTCAGCATACTGGTATTGTGGTGGCTGTATATAGTTACCTGCGATTGGTGGACTGACTGCGCTTGGCGAGCTGATGGAATGGATTCTTTGATGATCAGGGACATCTGTATGTCCCTGCATTGGGAAAGCGCCAGGTGCGGAAAATGGTGGCGATGTTGGCAGAGCATTCGCTGGCGGTACGAATCCAGGTCTTTCACACTCTGGCACTGCTGCCCACTCTTCTCTCCATTGCTCATGCCGTGGGTCTACTCCTTGTCTTGGGTCCCCAAGGCTCATGTGCCTTGTCTGAGGAGGTACGGCTGGCGCTGGCTGCATGTATTGACCTGGCTGAGAATACATATACTGCTGAGGTTGCGCATAACTTGGATGAAACCCGTCTTCGAAGTGCTGGTGCTTGTCTTGCAGCTTGTCCTTTGGTGCTTCTGGCGCATGAGTGTGTCGATGTCTTGGTGGTTCTTCCGAAGAGTCGGATTCGTAGTATTTCCTCGAAGATTTCTTGCTCTTCTCTTTCCGACGATCAGATTCTGACTCCTGGGGGTCATGCCTGCGTGGTGCTCGTTTCTCGACCCTGCGTGATTTGCCTCGAGTGTCTGAATCCGAGTCATAGTATTTCTTTGATCTAGATTTTCTGCGCTCCCGGTCTGACTCCTCGCTTTCGCTGTCGTCATATTTTCTGGAGCTCTTCTTGTGTTTGTTCTTGCCATCGTCAGAGTCGGACTCATAATACTTCTTGGACGATTTCTTCTCTCTCGAGCGTCTGTCGTCCTCTGACTCGGATTCGGAGTATTTCTGGCTGGACTTCTTTCTCTCTTTTCGCGATGGAGATGTGGCGCGCGTATCACGAGGATGGTCTCTCTGGTCCCTGGAGGTACTTCGTTCCCTGCCGCCGGGCGATTTGGACCGACCCCGCCGATTATCACGCACTGTCAGCATTTTAAATTCGATTCGGTTGTCGAAGCAACTCTGCCTCGCGAACAGATGGTGGTTGACAGCAATGTTCTCGGTGAAAGCAGCTTCAAAGAATGGACTCGCCGAGGCTGGACGCCTGATCAGTGATCAGCCATCAGCCTGCCTAACTCACCAACCCTCCTCTCAAACTCTATACTAATCCGCGTTCGGCTTGGCATCAAGGGGTTAATGCTTTTAGCTTTCAATTAGAGGGGCGGGCGATCATGGGGGCGGAATATCTAATACCCTTCTGGATGTGCTCCTTAATCTTGCACCTACAGACTTGACATCTCCTTTCCGTCGCAGGTACTCGATAGGGGAATTAACTGAAGAGCATCTTGTATTCAAGATGGTGCGATTTCGGGACCAAGTGAAATTGATAGTTGCCCTGCCCTGCCCTGCTAGGGACTTCGATGGGTAGCATTGCTACACCTACTGTACATTGCGAAAGTGTTGCAATTCCTTGGCGCTACCCTCGAATTGCTGGCGCCGCGGGGCAGAATTGCGGTGTGGGCAGAGGATGGCCATTTACCACCTAGCCGTCAAAAGCCATCTTTTCCATACTGCCCTTTGCTCTAACCTTTCTCTTTGTGGCGGTGATTGTGCATCAGAAAGTCTACCCGCTGCTGTCCTCANNNCTAAGAGATCCTCCGAAAAGGCGTCTCCACGGCCAGCAGGGCCAGCAGGGCCAGCAGGGCGTAAAAGAGCTGTATCAACGCAGCCTATCTCTCTGCGCCGTCAAGAGGATGTATCAACTGCTCCACCCTCCTCAGAGCTTGAATTTCTAGACGAAGAAAACGCGCAGGATAAGGCTGAGCCAGAGGAGATCGAGAAGGAGATCCAGGAGACTCCGTCAAAGAGCGATGCTAGAGATTCGTCCTATATTATAGAGTTAAGCATTATGCTAGACAAGAAAGGGATATATAATACCTTTATTAAATCTGAGAGGTTTATTTTCGAGCGTTTTGAATTAGAAGCTTAAAATTATGTCTCTAAAGCTGCTAATAAGCAGAAAAAGAATACTAAATACCTTAGTTTTAAAGTAAGTATTAAGATAAGCTAGCAAAAGCCTTAACTCTATATTATTAAAGATAAGCTAGATATAAATTACGTTAATAGAATAATAACAAAGCTATAAATAACTTATAATTATATATCTTAAGCTTCTTTATATATTACTTTAATTATAAATTTTAAGGCTAAAGATTAGCCTAATAAAGATAGCATTTCTATATATAATAAGAAGGACTTATCATCTATAAGTTCTTATAAATAAGCTTATAATAAGACTAAAACTGCTTTAAAATTAAAGAAGTTATAAGAGAGTACTTTAACATATTAATAAGTAGCTAAGGCGGCTTTCTATACTATTATACTAAACCTAGCTATTAAGATTAGTTGTTAGCACAAGTATAATTAATCTAACTATCTAAATAATAGCTATTATTATTATAATTTCTTTTAAATAAGTTATTTAAAGCTTAATATAGTTAATATTTATAAGTAAAGAAATACTATAAAGAATAACTCTATTATTAATATTTATTATCCTCTTTTAGAGGTATTAACCTAGTTAATTAAGGGTTATAAGAAGTAAAAGAAGCAGAATTAATAGCCTCTTATTACTTTATAGCCTTTAATAATTATTATAGCTTTATTAATAGTAGCTAGCTAAGGGATGACGCTTAATATTAATCTCTTAAGAGGTCCTTTATTAGCTACTTTTATCTATAAAAATACAGATAATAAGGCTTAAGATATAGATATAAAGACCCTAGTTTTATTTGTTATAGCGCTAGTATTAGTGCTACTCTTGCTAAGTAGCTCTATTCTATAGGCTAGAAATAAGAATGCCTGATTACTTACCTTTATTTAGGCTCGAATTTATGCTTAGCTTATATATTATGCTGCATTTAATTATGTATAGAACCTATTAATAAGTTCTAGCGTGAGTTTTTTAGATTTAGCTAGTTTAAGTAATAAAGAATAAAAGAATATTAGTATTAACGTTAGTATTAAGATGGATTTGCTAAAAAACAACAAGATATAATATTTATAGTATCTAAAGGCTATTAATAAGGTTATAGAGCATCTTCTAAGTAAGCTTGATCTTAATATACCTAAGGAGAGCAGAGGTAATAAGCTCTAAGCTTATAGATAAAGGATAGTTAATATTAAGAAGTATATATTCTACGCGCTAATAATAAATTTACTTCCTTTTAGCATTAAATTACTTAGTATACAGAAATTAAATAGAAATTAAGTAAAAAGCATTAGTAAGCAACGCTAGCAAACTATTATTTGGCTATTAATTATAATATAGCTTAAAACAAGGTCCTTTTATATATAGAGATATATTATAGCTTTTACATCCTCTGTATATTATCTTTGTATGCTTAGAAGTAACATAATTAATAATTTCTGCTAGCACTAGTCTATTGCTCTTCTCCTCCTCTTAAGCACTCTTTTTGTATTATATATAATATTAAAGAGGCTTAAGCGAGTACAAAGTAAATCTTCTGAAGCGAACAAGCAAGTAACAATAAGAACAAGGCTCATAGAGCCGGAGTAAAGCTATAGCTATCCGGGGAGACAGCAGCGAAACGCGTGCGGCTCGCACGCGTTAAGCATGCTCCCTAAGGGGACAGACGAACAGAGAAGGAGAAGAACACCAGGAAAGGAAAAGCTACGCCAATTAGCAACAAATAAAGAAAGACTTGATAGATATTACTAAGGGTCTCAAAAAAGAAGAGGAAAACAACGGCGGAGTGCCAATAAGCGGAAGAGAGCTAATAAAGTAGCTCAACATAGTTATCGAATGTGTACCGCAGGGAACGCGCACAGAAAACGCAGGGGAAGAGGTCAAGGCAAGGCTCGACTGCATTAAAGCGCTACTAAAGACCTCTCTTAAGGCCACACCTAATCCCTAATCCTAAGGCGTGACCTGAGCAAGCATTACTACAACAGGGATGCAGTTAATAAGCAGTTTGCTTGCGACCCCCCTTATTAATTATATAGTCAGGGTCTAAGCACTTTAAACAAAAGGGTTACCAAATAAGGAAATACTTAAAGAAGTCAAGAAAACAATACCAGGAGTAGCAGTAATTCAGATACTATATAATAGTAATATTAATATATCCTTACTAACAGAAGCCGCAAGGGACAAGGCACAAGCCCTTCCCTTTATTAAGGACTTTAAGATCTTTAGGAAAGACTACTAAGTCAAGATACTAAGGGTACCTTTATCAGTATTAGTAGCAGCAGGAAAGGAGGCTAATAATACGTTTTTAGCGCAGGCTATCTATAAAGCCTCTGAATCCATCGCCCTAGGGCTCTAGATTATAAGAATTAGATAGCTCCACTCTTACAAAACGCCTGCGCAATGTATACAAGACGCACATAAAGAGCGCATTAAGACAAGGGGATCCCTGATAGTGGGATTCCTGACAGAAGAGATGCAACGCATAGCACTCTGTAGAGGGCTAATCATGGATGCCCAGCTATTTAAAACGCGGCTGTTTAAAAAGTCCCTTCAGATTACACAATGCTTCAAGTGCCAGCAGTGGGGTCACACCTTATACGCATGTAGAAAGCAGGCGCGCTATGCGTAATGTGCGGGTCAACATGCCACGTCAGAGTGTATGACTAAGAGAGTCTCATGTGCCAACTGTGGCAAGCAGCACAGGGCATGGCAGAGCCGGGCATGCCCGTCCTACCAATCGTACCACAAAGGTATCCAGCACAGACGAATCGTACTGTACACGCAGGCGTATAGCATGCGTATAGCTATAACACGCGGCACAAGCGCAGAAACAAAACAGCTAGCCCTGGGCTAACAAGCACAGGGTGATAAGTGGACGCTAATCTCACACAAATAGACAAGAGCCTAGTCCTTCGACATAGATGATAACTAACGCTATGCTAAACAACCCACCTACATTAAGTAAGCAGCAAGAAGCTCCTTCTAGCAAAGGCTTACTGTTAATCAGAATAACGCATTTATATTATAAGCGAGAAGCATGACAATTACAAGTATAAGTAACGCTAACCTAAGCCTAGATAAGCTATAAGCTCTTAGTCATCTAATACAACTATAGCAATAGCAATTTATAAGGGAGCTACGCCCTCTTTAATAGCTTTATATAACCTTAAGTCCTAGTAATTTAAAAGCTAATTTTTAATAAATATACTTAGTCTGCTTACTACTTTAAGCCTTATAAACTAGCTTGTAAAGCCTACCCTAAAGCTAGGGTATACTTTATAATAAGGCAAGAAATAAGTATAAGAAACTAAAGGCAGAATCAGTATAGCCTAAAGATAACAAGTCTGGCTTTAACTACTTAAAAGAGCAAGCTAATAATTCTGAACGTATATAACCTAAGAGTAAGCAAACTATGTATACATAAATAAAGATATATAGCCTACACTCTTAGTAAGGCTAAAGGAAAGGTCTTATTACTAGAAGACTTTAATACTTATTACTCTGCTTAGGAAGGCACTAATACTACATATAAATAGAGTACGAATTACTTACTAAACAAAGCTAACTGCTGTAACCTTAGACTACTAACCCTAAGGAGGGAGACAACCTAAAGGAGGGGCACCTATAGCTTAGTAATTAACCTTATATTCGCATCATAAATACTAAGCGATTAAGTAATCTTCTATAGCCTAGAAGAGCACTAGGCCCTATTATAAGACTATATCCTTATCAGGATAGATCTAGATATCTAAGCGCCACAAGGATCATCAGCAAAACATATGTAATTTATACTTACAGAGCTAGACAAAGAAGGCCTTATAAAAGTACTGCGCCAAACTTAATAGGATCAGATAGAGAGCCTGCTACAAAGCATCTAAGAAGCCTTAGAGACCTTATTACTATAATATTGCTCTAGAGCTAGACTAAGCCTAAGGGTATGCCTAAGTTAGTCTTCTGAAGCTAGCGTGCTATTAGTATGTGTAAAGCATATAAGATGTAAATA